CGCCCAACGACGATGACGAAAACAATAATAATAATAATAATAATGGTACGTCTATTACCATCATTGCTATTACGGTACTGTCTTTGATTTTTTTTGTTTACTTTCTACATTTAGTGAAGATGATAATGCTGAAATCCAATTTGAAACTTTTTCTATCTTTTAAATCTATGCATAAAATATGCTTTTTATAGAGATTCATTTGTTAGAAATATCAGTAAACATAGTTTTGCTTAACTCAGATATTAAATCAATCAGTGACACGCGTTTAGTTATTTCCACTACATCTAATAATAATAATTGTAATAATAATAATGTTTTTCATTATCGACTAAGATCAATAATAAACATTCAATGTTGATAAGGAATACTTCTTTTTATTGAAAAAGGTATTGGTCATTGTAAAAATTTATTTGTATCAATCACATAGCCTTCTCATCTTCTAAATTTCCATCCACATCAAATTTCATGCGTGAAGATTAATACGCACGTTTGCATTGCATTACATTTGGGGGGGTCACACAAACTGAAGAGAGCGCAGCTTCTCTCATCTGCATGCGCACGAATGGATTTTCTAGGCTTAAGTAAGGTACCCTCCCTCCCTCATCGTTGTAGTGGAAAGAGGATAATATGCTACTTCGGCAAGCTCCTAGTCGCAAGTTCGATTCTCAATTTATTACTCACTCTCGCTGCCTTGTATCTCCCAAATGATCCAAATCATTCCCCTAAATGAACGCAAACAATTGTTTAAAAATATAAAAATATGAACAGAAATGAAGACAGCTTGTTAACTTGCCGAGTTTGTGATGCAATAACCAAAGCATATGGTTAAATAGGCTTTGAACTGCTTGGTCCTGAAATGGGAGGAGATTACGATTTCTCCGCTTCAGTATTATTCCTCATATTTTCGATACACTTACTGCAGAAAAGTCGACTTTTGAAGTCGATAATATGAGCAAAACAAGGCGAACTCGCATTGTCGTTTTAAGAACATCACAAGCAATTGAAAACGGAATTTTATTGTCTCTACCCAGAATTCCACTGGATTATGATCGGGAGGCATTAAGACTAACTTAAGATATGGTAATGTTATTTTCTATTTTTTATTGTAAAGAGCGGGAAGGATACACCATATACCAGCGTGCAACAGCCCAGGAGTTTTCATAAAAAAAGCAATAATAAAAAATAAAAACAATTGCTGTATATTCTGGTATCAAAGAACATGCCGGCTATCAAATCTATCGAGCACCTTGATTCTGTCCAGCTACGTGTTGTGAATAATTATCAAAGTGATTTCTCTAGAATTAGATATAGGCCTGTATATTTACAATTTAATTTTCATCCTCGAAGACGTAGGATAAGTTTGGGTGGAGGTTTATTTTTACAAGAGTGACGCGTTTCCGAACCGCAAAATGGAGTAAATTCGTTACAAACCTAACTTCGAAAAGAGATTACGAGTGTCAATGGATAACGGATTGAGGAATCGGAGAGCCGAGTTCGAATTCCAGTCGAATCCATTGCATTCACTTACTTGCATGAATCCTCTTCTTTTCCCCCACCCCAGCTACGGGTAAATAGCTGGAAGATAGAAGAACTTGGATGACAACTGGTCTACGGCAGAAAGAAATGGCAACCTACGGCGGGAAAAAAAATCTGCCTCGTCAGTCATGTATCGAAAGATACATGATCGCCTAAGCGTGTATCACATATGGCACATAACTGATCTTCAATTGTTTTTCACTTAACTCGACATTTCGTTAAAAATAGTTTCGTTTTAAATTATATTCAAATTAAAAATATTGAATTTAGTATATACTAAAACGAGGAAAACATTAAGGTTTATCAAAATTTTCAACGATCAGTCATTTGCATGATAATTCGTTAATGCTGACAGGATAGTTTCAGTTCTACTTCAATGTACGACACATTTTGGAAAAGATTTGACCTTTAAACTGCAGCCGATTTATGTTCTCACACAAGCGCACTTTCCGACTACGGGACATAAATGCAAATTCTTAACTTATTCCTAACTTTTCTTTCCTTTATATGCAAAACAATATAATAATAAAATACCTATGGATGCACTTATCAGTCTATTTTATCTGCAATCAAGTTTACGTTGTCTTTAAAGACTTAGATATTAAGTTGTGTTATATTTTGGATTAAAAACCCCCGACTGTTAAATGTAATGTTCAAATATATTAACCTACCAACGCAAGTAAATTTTAACCGCTGGTGATGTTGCATGAAACTGAATTTAATTTTTAAAGGAAGAAAAAAAAATTAAAGCTAATATCCAGATAACAAAAAAAAAAACTTGTTTAATACGAACTCATTCTTAAAATGCTACCGATTTCTTTACAAATTAGGAGTAACAAGTTTTACTATTGAAATATATGAAACATCGTAACAGAATTGAATTGCAACATCTAAAAAAAAAAATGAGAATCCTTCCCTTTCGCTTAGACGTGAAACCAGTAAAAATAATGATAAAAAACATATTTTTCATACTTTTCTTATCGATTCCATACTGTTTTCTAGCCAAGTACGTACCCAAAAGAAAGACTTTGTGGACAATACATCGATAAACGTTCGCAAAATGAATTATCCATAAACTACAGATGTTTATCGATTAAAAAATCATATGTGATAACTTGTCTTAGTGATGCAATCAGATAGATAGATATCAACAGATATATATATATATATATATATATATATATATAAAAAAAAATTTCTCAGAGCTAACCTGTAGAAAAAGACAATATGTATGAAGGTAAAAGACAATAAGAAAACTGTATTATTAGCCGACGCGTTTCATCCAATATGGACTTTTTCAAGGCAAAAACGAAATGAATTTATTGAAAACAAAGTAGCTATTAACAACAAACAAAATGTCCATTCCAACTAGAAGAATTTTGAAAACGCTGTTGTATTCATATTGTCAACTGAAAATTACGTCAAGTACTATCAAGTGTGTATATATTGTTTTTATTGTTGTGTTGACGGATTCAACCATTTTCTTTTGATTTCTTGATGCAGTTGTGTACGTTGGCGTGGGAGAGTAAAAATTCATTTCGTTTTTGCTTTGAAAAAGTTCACACTGGACGAAGCGCGTTGGATAATAATACAGTTTTCCTACTGTTTTTTTTTACCTTTATATATATATATATATATATATATATATATATATATATAGATAGATAGATAGATAGATAGATAGATAGATATATAGATAGATAGATTTATACGCATGAATGTTTCTGTAACTATATACAGATATGTGCATAAATAAAATGTATATTTTTGACGAGTAAAGGTAATAGTTACATGTAATAAATTTACATAAGCTTATACATATTAATGTGATTATATAAATGGTTGTTTTTAGTTGCATGTATATTGTTTTTATAGCGAGAAAGGTAAAATGTCTTCATCAAGAGGCATTGCCACAGCAAAGAGCGGAAGGATACACCATATAACAGTGTGCAGCAGCCCAGGAGTTTTCATAAAAAACAGACAACAATAAAAAAAGAAAAATAATTGCTGTATTTTCTGGCATCAAAGAGCGTACCGGCTATCAAAGACGAACCTCGATTCTGTCCAGCTAAATGTTGGAATCAATTATCAAAGTGATCTCTCTAGAATAAGATATAGGCCTGTAAACAATCTAATATTCATCCTCGAAGACGTAAGATAAATTTGGGTGGAGGTTTATTCTTACAAGAGTGATGCGTCTTCGGAACGGCGAAATGGAGTAAATTAATTACAAACCCATCTTTGAAAAGAGATTACTAGTGTAAACCCTCACTTGTAGTCGGTACTGTTATTTCATTAGTCGTTAGTCCAGGGACAATTCAGATCTCAATTTAAATAGCAAAAAGAAAATAATATCCAATGCTATATTATTGAAAGAGCTGTTACTCCTCTCATGACTGGTCAGAAAAATATTAAAATCGTATTTACAAATATTATTTTTCCTTTAAAGATTTCTTTTAATCAAGGAACTGACCAGCCGTCCCAGATATCGGCTATTTTAATTGCCGGCCCTTCTAAATGGACAAATTGCTGGACAGTTCCTACAAATTTTCCGGCATATGATGCTATTCAAATCTGTGAGCCGTTGAAACATTTTCCCGCGAAATGATTTTAAACAATCTCTCTGGAAATCTCGTTTGGTGAGATTCATTAAAATGCAAAAATTAATTCTGAATTGAATCTGTAAATCATGATTTTTTTTTCATTTTCAGAGTTTCCGATTTGAATCTGTTGGTTCTAAAAAAAATCTAGACGATCAAATGACCAAAATCGGGCGATTCTTTCGCATGAGAAAATAATATGAGCAATTTTAGAAAAAATAACTAACTATTTCTAAATCTAAAACTACAAAAAAAACCCCGGTCAATTTAGTTCTATTACTCTGGGGACATCGTCTTGGTTTACTGCATATATTTTCTAACTGATGTTTTTTATGAAACAATCGATCCAGTTACTGCTTACTATTGATATCTGTACACGTCTTTGATTAACTGATCGTTAAATACTATACACACTTGTATCATTGAATTTCACTGATTTTTCGTGACATTATACTCCAGAGTTTATTGTAAATTGGTCGAGGCCTTGTTTAGATTTACTAATCAACAATTTCGATTTATTTTGTTATTCTATAACTTCTGAAAATGACACTTTTTCTACGGCTGTTACTGACATTCTCTGTCAAATCGTCGTGTCTCTTACGAATAAAAGATTCTAGATAATATGTTAAAAGTAAAAATAAATGACAATGAGTAAACGTTTGAAAATGATGACAACAGCAAGGCAGAGAATCGAAATAATTCTCTAATAATTCAATGTCTACCGCTAATCATTGATGCCTAGACGAGAACCCCTATGATCAATTTCTTTTCCAATATCTAGAGAAGAAGAATCTACCCACTAGACAATAGGAAGAATTCTATCTAATTGTAAATGCAAAGAGAAATTCCCGAGCACTGAAAAAATTAGCCCGGAAATGTGGATTGAAGATACTTCAAGTAGAAGTAGTAGTAGTAGAAGAAGAAGAAAAAGAAGAAAAGGAAAGTGTCAAACGAAATACAATATAAATAGCAGAGAGAGATGATAGAAAAAAGAGAAGAAGAAAAAGAAGAAGAAAGTGTCAAACGAAATACAAATAGGAGAGAGAGAGAGAGAGAGAGAGAGAGAATGATAGAAAAACGTGAAGAAGAACGAGAAGAAGAAAGTGTCAAACAAAATACAATATAAATAGGTGAGAGAGATGATAGAAAAAAAGAGAAGAATAAGAATTTAGAGGAGTTGAAAATGGATAAGAGAGGGTAGAATAGCAGCAAACATACAGAAGAAAGAGAGGGGGAAATAAAAGGAAGAAGAGCAAAACACAGAGAGAGAGGAAGTAGAAAAAAAGAATGTAGTTGCTTCAGTCTTAAAAGAAGGAAGGAAAGACTTAAAAAAAAGCCATGGGAGGTGGAAGTCGAAATCTAATTCTTAATAGAGGAAATTCTCTTCTATTTTATTTCTTGTTTTTCACATATTGTCATTTTTTATCGCTAAGATAAGTAGATATGTCTGTTTTTTTTATTCTATCACAATTTTGCATTTCCCATCTCTTTTTTCGTTTTGTCTCTTGATTAGAAAAACACTTGTCAACTAAATTATTTCTTCACTAGTCTGATAGTTAATTGCTAGAAAGCAAGAAACAAATGAAAACAAGTTATCAAAATCTAGGGGTATTATTAAATTATCTATATCTGAAGAAAAAAAAACACGGAACCTACTTCGAATATCGTCATGGTGAATCATATTCAGAGCAACATTGGTTTTGAAACTTTAAGAAGAAAGCCGAATCTTTTACATTACTATTATTATATGGATTAAACGAGAAAGCAAAAATATCACCATTATAATTCATATTATTTCCATACTGTCTCAGGGAAACACGTTTATATTTTAATGGAGGTAGGAAATCTCGTTCTTTTCGAGATTGTCGCTGATTAAGTCTCGTGTTTTTCCACCTGATAAACAAACTCTTCACTCATGAATTGTTTGTTCATAATTTCGAAAAATTGAAAATAGTTTTCTATAGCATTTTTCTTGAAAACTTCACAATGCAAATTTAATTTGTCCCTATCTTTCTTTTGCTTTTACATTTTAGAATCTAAAACGTGTTTGTTTCTCTAATATCAAAACAATCACTTCATTTTGTTTCAACTCACGATCCTAAATAAATATCTATCAGTTATATATTTATGTTTCCAAAAACTATCTACAAACCCATCCCATACCTTAAGAAATTATATATAAATATATTCACTTTTTCGATCCTAAATGAATATCCGTCAAAGGTATAAAATACTTACCTATACGGGCCATCTTAGCGTCCAACGACCCGGGAGGATGATTATGTTTTATGGCGTTCATCCTCCTATTTGCTGGGCCCACACCTCCTCCTGGGACACCAGGTCCTTTCGGTACTTTTGGTCTGGGAGCTTCCACTGGTAACACTCGTCGACGTTTCTTGGGCAGTTTCGATCGGGCCTGTGTGTGTGAGTAAAAAAGCGCGAAGTTGCTTACTATAACTGGGACCGGTAGAGCTATCGTCAACACACCAGCTAGAGCACATAATGCCCCCACAAACATACCTACATACGTCTTGGGGGCCATATCCCCATATCCTACTGTGGTCATTGTCACAATTGCCCACCACAGACCAACGGGGATGCTATCAAAGTCATTGTTTGGGTTGTATTCTATCCGTTCAGCGTAAAATATAAGGGCAGCGAAAATTACAATACCCAGAACCAAGAAAAAGATTAGAAGAGATAATTCCTTGGCACTGGCTTTGAAAGTATGGATGAGAATTTTTAATCCCGCAGAATGGCGGGTCAGTTTGAATAAACGAAGGATACGAATAATACTAAAAAACTCGAGAATGTCGCTCTCCTGTTTAAGTTTCGTGAGCAAAAAGTCAAGATAGAACGACAGTGTGGCCACAATGTCGATGATGTTGACGGGGGCCTTCATGAAGTAGAATTTATTGGGTGCCACAATTAAGCGGATAATAATCTCAAACGTGAACCACGCATTGCATGCGCACTCGATATAGAAGAAGGCCTCGTGCGGTTCGGTCTTCTGCTTCTCCAAATGCCAAGGGGTTGAATTTGTCGCATTGCGCAAGACCGGAACTCGCATCTCAGGATGAGTCTTAAGGCAGAAGGATAGTATAGATATAACGATGAAGAAAACGGACACAATGGAGATAACCTGAAAGATAGAAAGAAAAAAAAGAAGAAGAAGAAAAGACACTAATGAGTGACTGTTAAACAACTGGTAGATAATATTAACATCAACAAATATACACATAAACTAATATATACAAAAAACATGAAAAATGCACACACACACACACACACACACACACACACACACACACACACACACACGTCAGAGTCCATTTTGCATATTAAATTTACCATTTGTCCGTTCATTGAATTCTGCTGCCATATCTGGTCTGGTGCTCCTGCTATTCATCTTGAAGTTCTTTACAAAATCCAAAGAAGGATCTGCAATGTAATCAACCCTGACCTGGCATCTCGACTTCAGTCACGTTCTCACCGACGTAATGTGTCTTCCCTCTGTCTTTTTTTTTTACAAATATTTTAATGGCAACTGCTCTGACGAGCTTTTTTCCTTGGTTCCTCGATTACGTGAATTTAAGCGTGTTCCTAGATTGGCATCTAGGTCCCAGACTTTTACTGTTGAAAAAGATAAATGTAATTGCCGCTTCTACTCCAACAGTTTCTTTCCCACACTTCCCGCCCGTGGAACTACCTTCCGATTCCATGGTTCCCTGATAATTATAATGTCCAAAGATTTAAATACAACGTTAATCGATCTAATTGAATCCAGTTTATCTTTTTATCCTTTCCTCAATCTCCCTTATACACAGTCTTTTCTCTCACTTTCATTTTCTGCGTGCTAGTGGCATTCCCACCTTGTTTGGGGCGAAGTGATTAAAATCACACACACACACACACACACACACACACACACACACACACACACAATATCACTTGATGATTACTAGGGATAATTTCAAGGAGGTTATAAATCCAATGAGAGCTCAATGTAAGAACAGAGCAATATAGTAATGAATACAGAATCCTTAAAAATCCATCAGGTCAAGTTATAATTTATTTCGTGGGCCTCAAAAGGAAAAGGAAAAGAAGAAAAAAAATTTATATTTCAGAAGGAAAAAATATTTTTTTTTAATATTATTTAGGGAATTTTATATAGATTTCATCTAAATTTTTTTTGGAGTAAGAGAAAGAGAGTAGATATAGGGAGGGAAAAGGAACTCCATTTATTCATGTTAAACTGGTCTGAAGAGATGGACACGAGGTCCACGAAATAAATTATAACCTGACCTGATGGATTTTAAAATATTCTTGTGCATTCATTATATATATATATATATATATATATGTGATATTGAGCATTATATATATATATATATATATATATATATATATATATATATATATATATATATATATATATATATAACATCATTGATGATTACTAGGGATAATTCCAAGGAGGATATAAATTCAAAGAGAGGAATGAATGTAAGAACAGAGCAATATAATAATGGTGTCTGAATAATTTGAACTCCATTAGTGTAAAATTTGGTCTGAAGAGATCGATGTCTGAGTCCACGAAATAAACTAAATAAATAGATTTTTAAGGGTTCTGTATTATATACGATCCGCGTAGGTGAAACCTAGGTAGGATAGTCTGGCTCTTTAAGTTTTATTTACTGGACAAAATAGCAATTTACATTTATTAAGTTTATTAATTAAAAAATATATATATATATAGTCTATATATATATATATATATATATATATATATATATATATATATATATATATATATATTAAATATATACATTTCAAACATGTATAAAACCCTACATAAATATATCAAATTTCGAGGTGTATAATCACGTCTGACCAGGCGTTGGTAAATGACTGGTTAGTATATTATTAGGATTTACTTACAAACTTACTTACAAACTTGATTGATTGAACCAATTATCAGCATAATGTTTTGCTACTTTACATTTCTATACTTTCCTTATATTTATATATTTTTCTCTTTTTCCTTTTCTCTGTAAAAACTTATTATATCCTATATTTTCTTTCATTTCTTTTTATTTTTTTTTTATTTGTTTTTTATATGGTTGCAAATTAAATCCTAATAATTGTAATAATCAAAATCATTTATTTTCACCTGATGAGATGTTTCCATGCACATCGAAACATGGTTAAATGCATTTATTTGTTACGCTGTTCGTACATGTTTGAATGTAATATCCTATAAAAAATATATATATATATATACATATACATATAACATACACACAGAAATATATATATATATATATATATAATTGTTTTTTATTATAACTTTTTTAAATACATTCAATGAAATATTCTATAATAAATAATTTTGATCTACTTAATGATTGGAAACTGTTTAATTTAAATTAATTTTAATCCTACCATTTCTGTTTATATTTGATTCCTTTCATTATATATATATATATATATATATATATATATATATATATATATATATATATATAAAATATATATATATAAAATATACATATGAAAATCAGTCCTCATTCATAATGGGGACCAATGAATAAAAAACAATAACGACCTGTTTGACATCACTATGGGATCATTAGACTCTGCAGAGTCTTCTGTTGGTCCTCTAATACTGTACAACTTAACGGCACACCGCGAAATTGATATTAAGGACATCGGACTGTATAGAGATGACGGGCTCATGGTGGTGAGGAGTTCTACTAGTTTTAAGATAGACAAAATCAGAAAAATTATATTTAGTGAATTTAAAAAACTAAACTTAAAGATAATTGTCTCTTCTAATTTGAAAAGGGTAAACTTCCTCGACGTAACTCTAGACTTACCAGGCAACACATACCAAACATATAGAAAACCAAATTCTAACCCTTTATATATATACCACCCATAAGTCAAACCATCCTCCATCCATAATTAAACATATACCCTCATCAATAGAAAATAGAATTAGCATTAACTCCGCTAACAAGGAAATATTCCAACAACACAATGGCTTCTATAACACTGCCCTAAAAAAATAGTGGTTATAAAAATGCTAACATTAACTATAGAGACAATTGCACTGGCCATAGGAAAAAAAAAAACAGGAAAAGAAAAATCATTTGGTATACCCCTCCGTTCAACCAAATGGTTAGTATTAAACTAGGACAGAAATTCTTAGCTCTAATTGATAAACACTTCCCCACCAATAGTAAGCTTAGTAATATATTTAATAAGAACACCCTAAAATTGAGTTACAGCTGCTCTGAAAATCTTGAACGTATAATAAAAAAACACAATAATAAGATCTTGAACAAACCCCCCATGCCTGAATAGTATTAATAAAAAAAACCCCTACACTTAAATCAGACAATAAAAGGGAAAAATTATGTAATTGTAGAAACCTAGAAGACTGCCCATTAGAAAATAAATGTTGCATTAAATCTGTGGTATACCAATGTACTATATCATCCACTGAGAGTCCTAGCACTAATATGATATACATTGGGTCCACGAAGAATGATTTTAAAGATAGATGGAGGCAGCATAAGTGCTCTTTCAATAATATAAATAAAAAAAAATCAGACTTCCCTATCTAAATATTTTTGGCATCTGAAGGAAACAAATAGGACACCAAAAAGTAAAATGGAAAATTATAAACAAAACTAGAACATGTAAAACTTGGGATGACCCATGCCCTTTGTGCCTCCATGAAAAATTGCACATTATTAAGTTTCTAAATAATAATAATCTATTAAACAATAGACACGAGTTACATTTTTTGAGTTAACATCAGATTTTTGGTTTTTAGCCGACATCATCAAATTTTTCAGATTCATAGTTTGAATAATTAGCTAAAAACAAGCATACAATATAACAACTTTTATAATCCATAGCCCAAATAAATAGTTTAAATACCCTAAAAAAAATAACCCTTTATGAAGTCGTCAAAAAAAAAAACGTTACGGCAGTTTTTTTTTTTATATGCACAAATCCCTTTCATAAAAAAATAAAATAAAAAAAATAAATAAATCTCCATAGACACGTAAACCAGACTAAGGTTAATACATCTTCCGTTTCAAATTTAGACACCCCCACCTTTCCCTGACTTGACATCTATGAAAGTAACTCTATACTGATACTTATTATTAACACCCAACACACGCCTACCCAATTTAAACAATTCGCCCTAGCTGTTACCATGGAAATTTTGATTTCAATTTTATAAAAAAACACGTAAATTTCAGAAATACGTTATTCCAAAAAAAAAATCGCTTGAAGATGGAACAGAGCTTTTACTTTAAACTCAATTTAATTCAAATAATTATATTGAAGTTTTCGGCTCTTGTTTTGAAAACATGAGACCTCTTATGTCGCGAGTTGGAATCATATTTTAAATAAATAATTATATATATATATATATATATATATATATATATATTTATATATAATATATAAAATAATAAGGGACTTTGGATTCAAAAAGATAGTTCTTTCCTATATATCTATATATATATATATAATATGTTCATAAAAACACTTTAAATATATATATGGTATATCATATATAATATATATATATACAATTTTGATTTGATAAGTGCTATATCATTGATTTTCATAGTTAAATATAAGTAATTTTAAATATATAAAAATATAAATGAGATTTCAAAGCTAATCATATAAATTTCCCATTAAATAAACCTAAGATCTAAAAATTCTATTTAAAATATTTATTTCTTTATGGACTAGCTATCAAAAAATCAAATTTTAGAATATAAATTAAAATCAATTTTTAAACAATTAACTCCAACTAAAACACACACAAACACAAAAACACAATTATGATATATATATATATATATATATAAAATAAAAATAATATAATGAATAAAGATAAAAAATAATTAACATAAATAGCTTTTATATTAAAAAAAAAGCTCAATACAAGATGGATAACTTATTATATAATATTTTGATTATAATAAATTTCAATAAAAATATTTTAATATCGTTATAAAAAAAAAAAACATGTTTAAAAAGAAGAATATTTTTTAAATTTCAACCGAAAATATTATCTGTTCTTTAATTCGGTCAATCAATAAATAT